AGCAGAAGACCCGGGTTCGAATCCCAGCACCCACATGGCAGCTAACAACTGTCCATAACTCCAGTCCCAGGGGATCTGATTGCCTCTTCTGTCCTCCATGGGCATTGCACGACATGGGTGCACTTACCTACATGCAGGCAATACATGTGTACATATAAAATAAAAATAAATAAAAACAATAAGATTCTGAGCTAAGCTATGTCTTTGCAGAATTTTTTTTTAATTTTGAATTAAAATTATAGGATTTAGAGGTATAACTCAGTGGTAAGGCACTTTGCCTAATATGCATGAGGCCCTGGGTTCTGTCCCCAACTTTACAAAAAAAAGGTTCCATATTTTTAAATGATCAAAGCCAATCACTGTTATTAAAATAATTTGTGGTTAGTTGCTCTTCGGACATCTTTTATCCCTAGAAGTAATATTTATGGTGAATTTGGGCATAAATTTTAACCTGGTAGGATATTTGTAAACATTTCCCAAATAAACAAGTATTTCTCATTTCTTAAAATTGCTTAATAACAGCCAGGCATGGTGGCGCACGCCTGTAGTCCCAGCACTTGGGAGGCAGAGGCAGGCGGATCTCTGTGAGTTCAAGGCCAGCCTGGTCTACATAGAGAGTTCCAGGACAGCTGGGGCTACAGGGAGACCCTGCTTCAAAAAGACAAAAAAAAAAAAAATTGCTTAGTAGCAGAACTGCAGAAATGGCTCAACAGTTAAGATCGTGTACTGCTCTTGCAGAGGACCCGAATTGCGTTCTCAGTACCCACGTTGGGCAGCTCACAACCATCAGGTAACTCACAATCACCTGTAACTTCAGTTCCAGGGGATCTGCTGCCTTCTTCTGGCCTCCTTCGGCTCCAACATGCACACAACTCATGCAAGCACATATACATGCACAAAAAAATAAATAACTTTTTAATAAAATTTTGCTTTCAGAAAGGTAAAATGGTAGACTTGGCAGGATGACTCAGTGGGTAAAGGTGCTTGCCACCAAGGCTGCTGACCTGAGTTCAGTCCTTTAAGCCCACATGGTGGAAAGACAGAACCAACTCTCACAAGTTGTCCTGACCTCCACTCATGCCATGTGCACATGATCGTACACAAAATAAAATAAAACAACTTGGGCAAGGTATAGGGGCACACTTCTTTAATCCCAGCACTCCGGAGGCAGAGGTAGGCAGATCTCCTTGAGTTCCAGGCCACCCAGTACTATATAGTGAGACCTTATCCCAATAATAAGTGAATCTTTTTTTTTAATGTTAGGACTTTAATAAAGAAGATATTTAATTGCATAGAAATTCAATCAAGTGAAAATTATTTTGTAAAGATTCCTCTGGGAATTTGGGGCTGGAGAGATGGCTCAGCGGTTAAGAGCACTGACTGCTCTTGCAGAGGACCCAGGTTTGATTCCCAGCACCCACATGGCGGCTACAAACTGTCCTTAACTCCAGTTCCAGGGGAATCCAAAGCTCTTTTCTGACCTCTGCAGCATTGCACAGCTGCACAGCATTGCACAGCAAGTGTGCACTCACATATGTGCAGGCGACACATTCATACATATAAAATAAACATAATAAATAAAATACTTTTTTAAAAAAAGATTCTTCTGGGAATTGAACTATTATAATTTACTTTTATAAACATGGTATTTATAGTACAACAGCTCAAAAGCTCTTTGTGTGTGTGTGTGTGTGTGTGTGTGTGTGTGTGCATGTGTGTGTGTTATATGCAGGTATATAGGCATACATATGGATGCCAGACATCAACATCTGTTTTTGTCAATCCCCACCAGATTTTTTTTTTGAGACAGAGTCTATCACTGAACCTAGAACTCACCAATTAGCTATACTGACTAGCCAGTGAGTTACAGTGATCCTCTTATCTCTGCCCCCAAGCACTGGGGTTACAGCCACAGCCACATGGGTGTTGGGGATCCAGACAGATCCTCATTCTTAAGGGGAAAGCATTTTATTCACTGAGCCATCTTCCCAGCCCCTCAAATTCTTTTTTTCCTTTTTTTTGAGGGGGGGGCATTTGTAGACCAGGCTGGCCTCAAACACAATCCTGCCTCAGCCTCCCTAGTTCTGGAATTAAAGCCATGCACCACCACACCTGGCCTCAAAGGGGCTTTTAACCAATGATATGATTTTAGGGCTTTTTCCCTCTATCATTTAGTACAACTTTGTATAAATCTTACAAGATCTTGGCCGTTATCTAGTTCTTTTGTTACTGCTGTTAGTAGAGTTTCATATAAAAGACAGGGCTATACTTTTGTAGGGGGAGAGTTTGAGACAGGGTCTCACTATGTAGCCCTGGCTAGCCTGGAGCTTGCTATGTAGACCTCAACCTCACAGAGATCTGCCTGCCTCTGTTTTCAGCGTGCTAGGATTAAAGACATGAACCACTATACATTACCAAAGTTTTACTTTTTGTAAATGTATATGAATGTTTTGCCCACATGTATGTAAGTGTTCCTATGTGTTCAATGCCCACAGAGGCCAGAAGAGGCACTGGATCTAGGGCATTGGGCCCCCTGGAACTGAAGTTACCATATGGGTGCTGGGAACTAAACCAGTGTCCTCTACAAGAGCATCCAGTACTGTTAACTGCTGGGCCATCTCTTCAGCCCCAAGGGTTTTACTTTAAATGCACTGCTTTTCTCTCTTTTTTCCTCTCCTTTCTTTCTCTCTTTCTTTCATACAGGGTCTCACCATATTACCCAGGTTAGCCTTGAACTCATGGCAATTCTATCTCCTCCTCAAAGAACTGAGATTACAGGCATATGCTACCATACCCTGCCCTGCCCTGTTTTTAAATAATGGAATGTAGTCAATGTTTTCTTGAACATTAGATATTGCACTGAAAAGGCACAGTGCTAATGGGTACTGACGCTAAGAGTGACCCTGATACCATGCAGAAACTCATAAAGAGGTGGTGCTGTGCCTTGTTCATTAGCGCATGGTACCAAATCTGTATCAAGGTCTCAATAGACTGCAATGGATCTGAAAGAGTGAGAAAGATTACTTTTGGAAGGCCTGCACTAAATGCTAGTCAGCATTTTGGGTTCCTTTCTCCTTCATCTAACATTTTCAAGACCTTACCTATGTGATAGGGAGAAGAAACCCCAAAACAAGGTAAGCAACTGTTGCTCCCATAGTGACTTATAAGTGATCTAACGTATCTATTCTGTATTTCATTTATTATAAATCAACCCTGCTTATTCAGCTTAGCTTCAGTAGTTTTTAGTCAAGTGCAAGTAGATAGGAGTCATGTAGGAGGGATGGGAAAGTCGATGCACAAAGAAGGCCAAAGAGAGGGCTAAGG